AAAAAAAAAAAAAAAAAAAAAAAAGAAAAGAAAAAAGAAAACTCCTAGGGAAAGTAGTATAATTATTGAAACTGAGACCTTAATTTCAACACAAACTGACGACAGCATGCAAAAAAAAAAATTGACATTTTTGTCTAAATTTCTTAAAATATAGAAACTCAAGTATTTTTTGTGATATTCTTTAAAAAAAACTATCCAGGCAGGGTGCGGTGGTTCATGCCTGTAATCCCAGTACTTTAGGAGGCTAAAGTGGGCGGATCACCTGAAGTTGGGAGTTTGAGACCAGCCTGACCAACATAGAGAAACCCCATCTCTACCAAAAATACAAAATTAGCTGGGCATGGTGGCACATGCCTGTAATCTCAGCTACTCAGGAGGCTGAGGCAGGAGAATTGCTTGAACCCAGGAGGTGGAGGTTGCGGTGAGCTGAAATTGTGCCGTTGTACTCCAGCCTGGGCAACAAGAGTGAAATTCCATCTCAAAACAAACAAACAAACAAAAAAACCAAAACAAAACAAAAACTATTTATCCCATTGGGAAAATCTGGGACAACTTCAATTTGAGCACTGAGGAAAACACATCAACCCCCACACAGTATTCCAAAGGTATTCACCTGAATCCAACTGGAAGGAAACAATCAGACAATCTCAAAATGAGGGATATTCTACTAAACTGGCTTGGACTTTTGAAAACTGCCAGCGTCATAAGAATGTGCTCTAGATGAAAGGAGCCTAAGCAGACTGACAGCTAAATGCAATGCCTCATCTTTGGCTGGGTTCTAGATTGAAAAAAGAAGTTTTTTGTTTTTTGTTTTCACTAAGACGAGAGAATATTGAAGACAGAGTACTGGAAAACAGTACTGTGTTAATGTTATACTTCCTGAGTGTGATAATTACATTGCAGCTATAGGGGAAAATACTCCTTTTCTATGGTTCAGAAGGAAAAAAAACAGTTTACAGAAAATGGTAAACATTGCAAAATATGTTTGAATCTAGGAGAAAGATATACAATAGTTTATTGTACTATTCTTACAACTTTGCACAGACTTTGAAATATTTCAAACCAAAAAGATGAGAAGCAGCAGCATTTCAGCCAGAAAAATGAAGCAAAAGACCTTTTAGAATTTACATTTGCAAGTCATCTTTGACGTGTTCTCAAACAAGGTTGCCATTTCAATGTTTTGAGATGTTTTCAATGTTGAATGTTTCTAACATTCTTAACGAACTAAGCTTTAGAGGATAGCTTTGGTCAGGAGTGCACTTTATATCAAGTGGTCAGAAAAAAACGAAAACTTATTTTACAATAAACATAACTCAGTTGTAAACTCATGAGAGTAGAAACTGTAAACTGTAACGTTTGTTTATGATCCTCTGGTATTTTGTGCCAAACAGGAAATCAAAACAGCACCAGCTATAACATGGAATGAGGAATGCTGAGCATTTACACTATAGCTGAAAAGAGACAAACCAGAGGACACAGCAGATGTTACCTTCCCTGACAAAGGAGATCACTGTGAATTACAAATTTTCCTTGAAAAATACTGGGAAACTGTAATCCCAATAAAATACTACATATATGTATAACTTAGGAAAACCACCACTACAGAAGCCTGATGAAAACTCTTATCACACACACACAAAAAAATACCATAAAGATTATCGTTATTTTATAAACTCAATTACCTTTGACTGCTTCTTTTATTACGGTAACAAATTGAATCCAAAGAACATCAGGATCAATTTCTACCCAGCCAATTTGAGGATACAGACTTTCTACCTATTTAGGAAAAGAAGATTTAGTAAAAACAATATTAGATCAAGTCAATAGTACGGGTCTTTGGGTCTCAAAACTACTGGTTAAAATAATTAACAACATGATTTTAGTATCTAATTAACTTTTATTGTTAAAATTGAAAAAATACATATATGAAATAAAAAAGGACTACATGCCAACACCAAAATAGCAGTAAGTCATCAGTTCACAGAAGATTTTAGCTTTATCACTACTTTTCTTTTTTTTTTTTTTTT